CATGTACTTGAACCTCCAACCTTTCAGTTAGCACCCAAGTATGTTAACCGTTTGCACTACCCGGAGATTATTAGGAAGTATTAGGATTGTGTATTAACATTGTGATCAAACAGAACCTACCATGAACTATAAACTCTTTGTTGCAAAAATTTAAGGATTTAGTCGTGGATTTGTTAGAATGTGTCTTTAGGCTTTAGCAACTGCTGCTGAGCATCATGCCTCTTTCAAAATGTGCACACAGGACCTGGACAAACCAAACGGACATCCATTGATGCTGATGGAATCCGCCTCAATTTTTCCCCTCCTGTAAAACAGGGGGGATGGAGCGGCTTACAGGGTTTGAGATGAGAGCAATCCGCACTAGATAAACGCGGGGAGAGAAAGAGGTGATCAGGACGTCTGGGGGTTGTGACTTTAGGCAATTACTCGGCATGCTGTGCCTCCTGAGGCTCAGCCCTCCTGTCTCCTCCGTAATGAACAAACAGTTGCAGAACCACAGCAAAGCCAGTGACCACCGAGGCAAGTCTGGTGGTGGCAGAGTAGAACTGCTCCGTGGACTTTTTATGACAGTGACCTTTTGAGAGCAAACTGCCAGGCCTTTCTTCTGAGCTACCTCTGCCTGGGTTTGAACCTTTCAGACCTTTTGGTTCGTAGCCCAGTGAAGCCATGCAGAGACTCTTCTTTCTCATTGTTGTGTGCTGTCAAGTGTCCGGCGGATCACATGTGACAGAGAAATGCTGCCCACGGGGTTTCCTAGCTGTAATCGATCTAGAAGCAGAGCTCTAGGTCTCGTCCACAGCAGAGCTGCTGGCGGGGTTTCAACTTCTGACATTTCAGTGGGCTGCTGCATGCTTAACCACCTCCCCACCGTATTACCAGGGCCCCTCCTTCCTCCCCAACCAAATGAAAACCAAAACCATTGTCTGGAGTCCACTTCCAACTCTTAGGGAATTGCCCCACGGGATTTCCAAGGCCCTCAATCTGAGGAAGCAGACTGATGCTCCTTTCTGCAGAAGAACAGCTGGATGTTAGCAGGTGCCCTTGGGTGAACTTGAATCCTTAATTTTTGCTCTTAACTATGTCCCCACAAGTTCCCGCTTCCTCAGGATTCTCCGCCATTGAGTCGATTCCAACTGACAGTGACTTTTTAGGGTTTGGGAGCCTGGAAATCTTTGTGGGAGCAGAGAGCCACCTCCGCCCCCTCGGCAGGGACTGGTGGGTTTGAACCACTGACCTTGCACTTGGCCGTCCAAAGGGCACCCACAGCACCACCAAGGCACTTTCTACTTTCTCAATAACCCTTCACTTTCCCTCCTTCTCGCTAAGCACATGCTGACGATAGCAAACACACCTGAAGCACACAGAGCTTTTCTTCAAACATGCATGCAATTCACAAGGAGGTGCTTCTCCCACCCCGTCACTCCTGGGCCAAAGGAGAGTTCAGAGAAGTGGCACGAAGCAGGCGCAAAGGTGTTTCCCCTGCGCTGCTCCCTTTCTCTGCTCTGGCTGACTTACCTCTCGCTGTTCTTTGAGCCATCGAGTTTCTCCTTTGGCTCAGTTTTAGAATTTCAAAAAAAGAAAAAAAACCAAAAGATTAAAAATGCACCTTCAAGTATTTTGGGGCACCAAGTGTGTCTGATTCTTTGGAGTCTGGCCCCCTCTTTGCTTTACTCCATTATTACAGTCAATGGTTGGTTTCCCTCAGGAAGGGAGCCAGGTGAAAGGTGTCGGAAGGAATAAACATCTTTGTTCCAACTTGTCTTCAGCAGCATGCTTTCTTCTTGTATGGGGCTCCCTTGTAAGGCAATACTATTTCCAGCCCTTTGAAACATTCGACCTAGAGCTGCTATGAAATTACATGATGTTAAAGAGCTGATATAATCTTTTAACAAGGATAATGAGAGTTTTGTGTGAATGCTCCTCCCCACATTCTCCAGTTCTAGGAGAAAGTGGGAAATAGCTCCATCAAAAGGAGTTGGCCCAAAGGTTGGTCTAGTATGGTTCTACTAGATAAACCTGAGGAGCCCTGTGGCATAGTGGGTTACTCATTGCATTGCTAACAGAAATGCCAGCAGTTCAAAACCACCAGCTGCTCTGAGGGAGAAAGACGAGGCTTCCTGCTTTAGCAGAGTTCAGGCCTTGGGGACCCACGAGGGCAGTTCTACCCTGTTCTGCAGGCCCCTTGGAGCCAGGATGGACTAGAGGGCAGGGTGTTGGGTGAGTGGTTGTTTTTGGTTTTTTTTAGATGAACTTGAGTAAATAATCTTCTGGGCCTTCATTTTGCCATCTGTGCAACGGAAAGGGTGTTCTTTCTGTGCCATGGTCAGATGGGTACTGCAATCAAGGCAATAGACGAATGCAAAGGTTGGTGGAAAAGACCTTTTCCCCTTGACTGCAGCAGCTTGGAATGGTACTTGAAATTCCTTTGCAATTCCACAATCTGTGATCAGTAATAAAATGTTTTACTCTTTCTAATCACTGTGTTTGAATACATAGGTAAACTCTAAAGACCTGTTTCTTCTTCTTTTTAAAAAAATCATTTTATTGCAGGCTCGTACAACTCATCACAATCCATACATCCATCCATTGTGTCAAGCACATTTGTACATTTGTTGACCTCATCATTCTCAAAACATTTGCTTTCTACTT